AGTATACTGACTCCGAGCCGACCAGTCCTTGTTTTACCCCCTTTATGCCGAGCGTTTGACAACGCCTTATATTTTTGTTTATTTTGAGTAGAGGTTGACCTTGATTATGACCTTGTTATCACATTAGGGTTATCAACGAGCCTTGACAGCTGACACGAGAGAAGATTGTGACCTTTGAAATGTACTATCCCTGTTCGAAGATACTGGGAAATGAAAAATATGTGCGATTGTGTACGTGGCTGCAGGGTGAAATAGCAATGAGAAAAGTTACAAGACACCTCCAGCAGGCGCCATCTGTTATTCATCGACTGTGGGTAAGATGTCGGATGCATAGTAAAATTGCGGTAGGCATGATCCATCACTTGATTGTCTGGTCCATCACTTGCTTGTCTGGTCCTTCACTTGCTTGTCTGGTCCTTCACTTGCTTGTCTGGTCCATCACTTGATTGTCTGGTCCATCACTTGCTTGCCTAGTCCATCCCTCCCTTTCTGGTCCTTCACTTGATTGTCTGGTCCATCACTTGATTGTCTGGTCCATCACTTGCTTGTCTCGTCCTTCACTTGCTTGCCTGGTCCATCACTTGATTGTCTGATTGTCTGGTCCATCACTTGCTTGTCTGGTCCCTCACTTGATTGTCCAATTTCTTCACAGGCCGGCGACGCATGATAGAAGTTCTGCTATGCGGTATAAGGCAACAAATAAACAATTGTGTTTGAATGCAAATGGTGGCGGCTGACACCGGTAGGGCAGGACATGCTTATACCTTTAGCGAATACCTGTCGCCAACACTGATTTTCAGTGATCCATTCATATAATTTTCCTTTTCCATTTCTGGTGTCCCCCGCCGTGATATTGCTGGAATATTGCTAAAAGCGGTGTAAAACCATACTCACTCACTCATATAATGTTTGCCTCTCAAGCCCAATGGAATCTGTTTCGGGAGATATTCGACGCTGGTTATTCTCTGGCGTTGAGATTTTATATTTATATTTCCAGCCAGTGACAGGACTCGCCTGCACTGAACAGTCTTTATAGCCATAGGGGCGGTCAGGTAGCCTAGTGGTTAAAGCGTTAGCTCGTCACGCCGAAGACCCGGGTTCGATTCCCGACATGGGTACAATATGTGAAGCCCATTTCTGGTGCCCGCCCCCCCCCCCCCCCCCCGTGATATTGCTGGAATATTGCTAAAAGCGGCGTTAAACCTCACTCACTCACTCACTCACTTTATAGCCATAGTGTCTTGATTCAGATTGTTAGGTGAACAATGTTTGCATGTCGAAAATAATTGCAATTGGAATTAATTTTGTCAAATTCAGGTAGGTTTAAAACCAAAGAAAGAACCACCTTAGCATCTTTCCATTCTGCACAACAGGTAGTCATTTGGTGGGTGTTCTGTATTGGGTGTGTTGCAAATTACATTTTGTACCTACTAACGGGATCGGGTGGTCAAACTCGCTGACGTGGTTGATACATGTCATCGTATCCCAATTGCGTAGATCGATACCAATGATGTCAATCACTGCATTGTCTGGTCCAGACTCGATTATTTACAGACCGCCGTCATATAGCTGGAATATTGCTGAGTATGGCAAAGAAACAAACATTTTATCAACACCGTGGTGCAGTCATTCTGACACCAGCGGTTTATATCCGTATCTATTCACGGGTCAGGGTAATAAGTATAAATCAGAAGCCGAATGAGAATCTTCATATATCACATCACAATAAACTGACCGCACGACATATACTGTTATGGCACAAACAGCCCTTCGTAGAGTGCATGGCCGTTGGGGTATGCATGTGGTTCAAGATAGTTCATGGCCTACTTTGCAAAGTCAATAATGATGTCACGCCGCATGGTATTACACCCGGTTAAACGTTCTGTGGATTGTTTGACACCATTGACTTTCATTACAGATAGAAACGTTTGCTGATCTGCACTACTGCACGAGGCGTTTTAACTGCGTCTATTTATACCTTTTGGGACACTTGAGTAGGCTGGAAGGTAGTCCTGTGGTAATTATATTGTTTAGGTAATTTAATCTAGTCTGCTTTGAAAAGCCGAAGTGGAAATGTTCTTTCCAAGATCGTGTTTTATTTTAAAGACATGTTTTCATTGACTAAGTGTTAGTCTACCGTTTGCCGTGAAGCCACATTTTGCCGCCAGCCTTGAAGCCACATATTGCCGGTAGCCTTGAAGCCACATTTTGCCGCTAGCCTTGAAGCCACATATTGCCGGTAGCCTTGAAGCCACATATTGCCGGTAGCCTTGAAGCCACATATAGCCGCTTGCCTTGAAGCCACATATTGCCGGTAGCCTTGCAGCCACATATAGCAGCTAGCCTTGAAGCCACATATAGCCACTAGCCTTGAAGCCACATATTGCCGCTAGCCTTGAAGCCACATATTGCCGCTAGCCTTGAAGCCACATATAGCAGCTAGCCTTGAAGCCACATATAGCCACTAGCCTTGAAGCCACATATTGCCGCTAGCCTTGAAGCCACATATTGCCGCTAGCCTTGAAGCCACATATAGCAGCTAGCCTTGAAGCCACATATAGCCACTAGCCTTGAAGCCACATATTGCCGCTAGCCTTGAAGCCACATATTGCCGCTAGTCTACAAAAGATTGTGTACATGTTCTTCCATACAAAGGATTGTGTACATGAGTTTTGATGCAGTGGTTTTTGTACATGTGCTTCAATACAAAAGCAGACCGCCTCCGTGGTCAAGTGGTCTAGTGGTAGAGCGTCCGCCTGGAGAGCAGAAGGCCCGGGGTCCGATCCCAGACCGGGTCATACCAAAAGACGTTAAAAGATGGTACAAAACAAGGACTGGTCAGTATACTGTGTCTGAGTGGGGTATTCATGTTAAACTGTGGCATGGTATCTCAATGTGCTCTAGCACTATAAATCGGCAGCAGTCCGGACTAGTATAAGCACACACACGCACGCACGCACGCACGCACGCGTACATACACGTCGCAATATAAGTACAATAACCTTTCACGCGACGGTAAACCCACTTTCACCTCACCTTAGTTTCCACCCTTGCCGAACTAGGCTGTTATTATGGAGTAAGAATTTGGCTGGACTAACGAGTCTATGCATAGTCCAATCAAAATCGCGCAACGAAATCGAAATCCGGTTTGTAAACTGTCGCGCAGATTTCGGTCGATTGCAAGATTTGCACAGCATGTGCATCGCCAACTCCTTGTCAACAGATATTTTCCAAACATTTTCATGTTTTTAATAAAGGCGCTCGCGTGATTTGACGCACTTCGCGATGTAAGACCCGTTTTATCACAACATAGATCTTCATTATCGGTCAGATCGTCTTGACTGGGCGCCACTGTTTTGTTTGAAACAAATGCAAGTGATGGAATCTGATTGGTCCATAGGAGAGGCTTAGAAGGGACATAACTCGTAATAACCATTGGTGGCGCTACGATCGAGCCCGGGAATTCCAGCCAAGTTAGGCAAGGGTGGAAACTGGACTTTTAAAGTCAGTTAACACTCTTGCCTAGGGAAGATGGACTTTTAAGGTCAATTAACTCTCTTGCCTAGGGAAGATGGACTTTTAAAGTCAGTTAACTCTCTTGCCTAGGGAAGATGGTCGTAAGAGGCGACTAACGGGATCGGGTGGTCAGGCTCACTGACTTGGTTAATGAATGTCATCGTATCCCAGTTACGTGGATCGATGCTCATGATGGCAATCACTGGCTTGTCTGGCCCAGACTCGATTAATTACCGACCGTCGTCATGTAACTGAAATGCGGCGTTTAACAAGAAACAAACAATGGATTGTGTACTTGTGCTTCAAGACACTGGACTGTGTGCATGTGCTTCAAGACAATGGGTTGTATACATGTGCTTCAATACAATGGAGCGTACATGTGCTTCAATACAATGGATCGTGTACATGTGCTTCAATGTGGACCTATCTGACATTTCGATGCTGGGGACCAGTTCTTCCCTGGAATGTCCACGGAGTTCGTCTTTTACCTATACATTAGGCTTATTCAATGGTAATATAGGATGATTAAATCGAATAATAGTGTATGCATACGAAATACTGTTAAACGACGTTAACTCAACCAATTAATATGATAATGTTTAGAAGTCAGTTTGTTTGTTAATTGTTTAACGCCGCACTCAGCAATATTCCAGCTATATGACGGCCGTCTGTAAATAATCGCCTCTGGACCAGACAATCCATTGACTGACATCATGAGCATCAACCTTCGCAATTGGGATCGATGACATGCATCAACCAAGTCAGTAGAAATCAGTAATTGTAATCGTATTTGGCCAGTTTTGGTACAGAATTGAAATTTGATTACGTCGAAGTAATATTAAATGTCTTCAATGCAAAAAAGACCCTATTTCTTGAAGCTAAATGAGCCGTGTGCTTTTTATTGCTGAAACAAATTCCTTAAGTCACCACATATACAATGTGTGACGTTCAGCTGACTGACTAGAGTCGTATATAAGTCCTTTCTGTCAACACAGATGGATGGCAACATTTACCTAACAAGCCCCAAGGCGAAATGTGATGTAACTCCCTGATATTCCACACGATTGTAAGTACAGTGTGTCTTAAACAGAACACACATATTACCTTGTCGAGTACCACTTTTATCTCATATTTTGTATTAGGAAAGTTCGACATGTATCATGCACTCGAGATTGCATGACCAGTTGGTGTGTTTATTCTGTCACAAGGGGAGGTAACCATGGTGACCCAAACTGTCGGACTCCTTATTTCGGCTGCTTAAAGTAGGTCGCCCACAGTCAACAAAGCATCGATCACTACTGAATTGACGGATGTGGACACATAACAGGTAACCTTGACAACGAAAGTGAGATTTTCTGACGTATTGTTACTATGTCCTGACGGCACATGGGCTTCATATAGTGTACATGTTAGGAGTTGTTCGTGAATCGTTGACACGAGCGATCGCTTAATCCACAAAACTCTACCCATGGTCAACCAAGCCTCCTTGTCTGGTAGACATTTACTTCAGAACGAAGGAACGTGATTTTTAGCCTTACCGACCCACCGTAGTTTTTGTAACCCGTTCCATGGGCGTCGTACATAGTACATATATTTCGAGGCAGAGGTAGCGAGAGTTGAATCGGCAACTCCTCTCCAACCAAACCTGGTCCCAACCGATTTCAGAATACGACCAAGAGGAACGATTTTCAGCCTTAGAACGTGTTCTCGTGGTTTATGTCAATAGGCAAAAATACGGTAAGGACACCCAAGGTAAGGTCGATGAACTACATGTATATGTTACAGAATTCCTCGCGTACTTTGTATGTTTACATGTTTGTTGTCATACGTACTGGAATAAGATTTCCAACAGCGTCGTACCCATGACCTGTCATCGTCAGACCACACAGGACCCCCTCCCGACGCACCCAGGGGCACGGGTAGAGGGGGTGGGGTTCTGGTCCCCACCCCAGGCACGTGGTACAGTAGATAACAACTTGGGAAATAACGCCGCTTTGAACAGTATTTCTGTCTCACGGGGTTGTCATGAGTAAAGAAGCTTTTAATTGATAATCCGCTTTACAGTGAACAACCATGTCACTTTTGCCCAACTTTCTAATGTGCTCGACATTACCTGTACGTTTGTTTTTAAAATTTATGTCACGAGAAAATTCACGACAACGGAATGACAACGGCAAAAATGAGAACATGTCTGACCATTGAGACCGGTACAACTGGAATATTATTATCATTATTGCTTGCATTTTTGTATGTGTTCCTGGTGTTTTCGTTGCAAGCGTTTGAAAAGGACGAGTTGATATAAGTCACAACACGTTAGTAGAAGTTTCTTCTAAAATTTGATCGGACACTCTCGCACTCGCCGATGTTAACTTAGAAAACTGTTAACTTGCATTTGTTAAAGTTTATGAATTTAAAGCAACAACACGTTTCTTACGTTTAACATGTCATTTTTGTGTGAATGTAAATGATACAAATATACTAATGTAAATGGTAATATCCAGTTATTTTACACAATCCGATGTGTCGTGAAGAGGTCGCTTATTTACTGTTGCGTAGGGATACATTATGTTCATGTTATAGCCGCTAGACATGTAGAAGGTGGTTAGAGGTGGGATCTAGACTAGTTTTCAGTAAATTTGATTTTGTGTAAGAAAGGAATACTCGACTCGAAATTTGGAACTACGGTTTATCTTTCAAAATGTCAGAAGCTTAACAAAGCTTACCCTGTGGAGAGGACTGATCTGATCTGATGCCATTATGAGTTAAATGTCACAGGACTATTCGTGGAACAAGTAAATAGGTCTTCGTAATTGCCTCAATTGGTTGGATATCACCTAGGGAAATGAAACACAAACCCCTCTTTACCAACTGCAACGCCGAGAGAGTCAGACTGAGAGAGAGAGAGAGAGAGAGAGAGAGAGAGAGAGAGGCACACACACAGACGGGAGAGAGAGAGAGAGAGAGAGAGAAAGAAAGAGAGAGAGAGAGAGAGAGAGTCTGGGAAACCTTGTTATTGATGACGGTATCGTTGCTTATGAAATTAGCATACACACACTTCGGATAAACGAATCACGTAAACATTTCGCGTACAACCGGTGTCGATGATTTTCACTGATCCATTAATATAATTGTCATCACCAGTTCCCAATGGGATCTGTTTAGGTAGATACTATACATTCATTATAATAAGTATTATTGTCCTTTATGTAATTTGGTAAAGGTGTTTAACCTTAATCGACCGGAGAGGTTTCCGCATTAACGAGGTTGCATTGTTAATATTGGTCCCACTTCAAGCTGACACGCCGTGATATATTTGGAACACCGTTCAGGACGGCGTTACTGACCATATCGTGATGACCTATTTCAGTGACCTACTTGATGGCCATGGAGTAGTCAATTCATCAACTGAATTCGCCGACCTTTGAACATGTAACACTAGGGATTATTTTCCGCCATGACGCAGATATATAACCCTGTATGCAAAAACTACATTTTCGAATAAGAATAGATAAACCTACTTCGTTTGTGATACCTCTTATTTTAATTTGGAACCGGGCGCTTTATGAATGGTTGATCTCCATTCTTCCATGATGGCAACAGCACTTTGGAAACGGTGCTCTCTTGCAACGCGGAACTACATGGGGTACAAAGGTCCGCTATCTTAAAACATTCCGAAAAGGGGTCATATATGTAACAAATATTGCTAAAGTTCAAAATTAAAATTCCCATAGTCTTGACTGGTTAAAAATTAATGTTCAAAACACATAGTTTTTCAAAAGAAGTTGACAAATAACCCTCCAAAGTCCAAAGATATATGTTTTAATTTCATCGCAATCTCTTGTGCACTCATCAAGCCAATTCTTGCAAATCAGTACGACAAGTCATTTCTTGAAAATCGAATATGCCATTCCCCATTTTGTTGGGGTGATAGGTTGTAGAAATAGTTTTAAAAATCTTAGAGGAATATATTTCTCCAACACACTTTATAAACATTTTACCTGATTTGACAATGTCATCTTAATTTTAGGATTTCACGGCTTATACGCCAGCGTGTGAAATAAATGAGGCAATTGTGGCCATGAAACAGTGGTTCCTGTATTATTTGCTTAATTGAGCCAGTTCTGAAATAAATTTAATCAAGATCAGTTGTTATGATAAGTAACCTGTGCTATGACTTCAGTGATGTCGGGGTATTGTTTGAGTGTCCTTTTGAAGGGAGGAGTTTTTTCTTAAGGACTTTCAAATCCTCTCCTGACAAATCCCTCAGGTAGTTGCTTGAGATGGCAATGGATATTGATCACAAAAGGGTTTGTAGACACACATGTTGTCATGAATATAAAAAATACAAACACTTTTTAAAATGTGATATTTCACATTCATTGTCGGTTGTTTCAATGTCTTGAGTAAATTTGCCTGTTCCGAGTCTGTTCGCCATCGAACACGCCTTAACAGCTTCATACACATTATCATTTGCATGCCAAAGATATGCCTTCGTTAAGTCTCATCATCGAAACAATCAGGGTTATGGCCTAGTTCTACATAGTGTGGCCAAATAAACAACCGTATTTCCCCTATAAGACGCAAGGCCGTCTACTAATTTCGGGAGAGCGGCTGACCCAACGTGTATTAGAGACCTGGCTTGTATTAGAGACCCAGCGTTTAATAGAGGAAATATCGATACGCTTTACAGTACCTATGAGTGATCGATGACGCTTGAATGCGACGGACGGTGTTCAGATGGGTTAGCAGGCTGGACGTTGTTGTGATTCGATGCGACGCGCGCCGTTTGACGTGACGGATGACGTTACCCTGCGACGGACGGTGTTGAGATGAATAACAGGGTGGACGTTGTTGTGATTCGATGCTACGCGCGACGTTTGATGTTACGCATGACGTTACCCTGCAACGGACGGTGTTGAGATGGGCAGCAGGGTGGACGTTGTTGTGATTCGATGCGACGCGCGGCGTTTGATTTGACGGATAGCGTTGCCATGCGATGTGACAACGGAAAATATTAGGTGCACAGCTTTTGTTCAAAACGACCCATTACGTTACAAATGCGATCTAACGGATCTATGACATTGTCGCATTTCCTCCATCTAAAACATTTTAAAGAAGCGTTAAAATTCGCGAGAGCGCGTCACTGTCTCTTCTTGGATTCAATTCTGATATGTTTCAGATTAAACTGAGAAATGGAACCGAATGTTCTTCATCTCCAAGATGGCGGCGGGTGCACGCTGGACGTTCAGGAGTGTGGAGGGGTCTACTTCCCCAAGGTGTTCAGTGTGGACATCATCAGCAACTTCCGCTCCATGGAGATACGTGCAGATGACGTACTACTTAGCTGCTTCCCAAAAGCTGGTATGTGTTTGTCCTGTACTGGATAAGTATCGATTGAGATGGTGTGTGTTTATTTCCCTTGTACTGGATAAGTATCGATGGAGATGGTGGTATTAGCTTGTCCTGTACTGGATAAGTATCGATTGAGACGGTGGTCCGTGTTTATTTCTCCTCTACTGGATAAGTGTCGATTGAGATGGTGTGTGTTTATTTCTCCTGCACTGGATAAGTGTCGATGGAGATTGTGGTGTGTTTATTTCTCCTGTACTGGATAAGTATCGATGGAGATGGTGTGTGTTTATTTCTCCTGTACTGGATAAGTGTCGATGGAGATGGTGTGTGTTTATTTCTCCTGTACTGGATAAGTATCGATGGAGATGGTGTGTGTTTATTTCACCTGTACTGGATAAGTGTCGATTGAGATGGTGTGTGTTTATTTCTCCTGTACCGGATAAGTATCGATGTAGATGGTGGTGTGTGTTTGTCCTGTACTGGATAAGTGTCGATTGAGATGATGTGTGTTTATTTCTCCTGTACTGGATAAGTGTCGATTGAGATGGTGTGTGTTTAATTCTCCTGCACTGGATAAGTATCGATTGAGACGGTGGTCCGTGTTTATTTCTCCTGTACTGGATAAGTTTCGATTGAGATGGTGTGTGTTTATTTCTCCTGTACTGGATAAGTGTCGATGGAGATGGTGGTGTGTTTATTTCTCCTGTACTGGATAAGTATCGATGGAGATGATGTGTGTTTATTTCTCCTGTACTGGATAAGTGTCGATTGAGATGGTGTGTGTTTATTTCTCCTGTACCGGATAAGTATCGATGTAGATGGTGGTGTTTATTTCACCTGCACTGGAAAAGTATCGATGGAGATGGTTGTGTTATTTCTCCTGCACTGGATAAGTATCCATGCTGATGGTGGTGTTTATTTCTCCTGCACTGGAAAAGTATCGATGGAGATGGTGTGTGTTTATTTCTCCTGTACTGGATAAGTGTCGATTGAGATGGTGGTGTTTATTTCCCCTGCACTGGATAAGTGTCCATGTTGATGGTGGTGTTTATTCCTCCTGCACTGGAAAAGTGTCCATGTTGATGGTGGTGTTTATTTCTCCTGCCCTGGATAAGTATCGATGTAGATGGTGGTGTTTATTTCTCCTGCACTGGATAAGTGTCGATGTTGATGGTGGTGTTTATTTCTCCTGCACTGTATAAGTGTCGATGGAGATGGTGGTGTTTATTTCTCCTGTACTGGATAAGTGTCCATGTTGATGGTGTTGTTTTTTTCTCCTCTACTGGATAAGTATCGATTGAGACGGTGGTCTGTGTTTATTTCTCCTGTACTGGATAAGTGTCGATAGAGATGGTGGTGTGTGTTTGTCCTGTTCTGGATAAGTATCGATTGAGCTGGTGTGTGTTTATTTCTCCTGTACTGGATAAGTGTCGATGGAGATGGTGTGTTTATTTCTTCTGCACTGGATAAGTATTGCTTGAGATGGTGTGTGTGTGTGTGTTTATTTCTCCTGTACTGGATAAGTGTCGATGGAGATGGTGTGTTTATTTCTTCTGCACTGGATAAGTATTGCTTGAGATGGTGTGTGTGTGTGTTTATTTCTCCTGTACTGGATAAGTGTCGATGGAGATGGTGTGTTTATTTCTTCTGCACTGGATAAGTATCGCTTGAGATGTTGATGGTGTGTGTTTATTTCTTCTGCACTGGATAAGTATCGCTTGAGATGTTGATGGTGTGTGTTTATTTCTTCTGCACTGGATAAGTATCGCTTGAGATGTTGATGGTGTGTGTTTATTTCTCCTGCACTGGATACGTATCGCTTGAGATGTTGATGGTGTGTGTTTATTTCTTCTGCACTGGATAAGTATCGCTTGAGATGTTGATGGTGTGTGTTTATTTCTCCTGCACTGGATACGTATCGCTTGAGATGTTGATGGTGTGTGTTTATTTCTTCTGCACTGGATAAGTATCGCTTGAGATGTTGATGGTGTGTGTTTATTTCTCCTGCACTGGATACGTATCGCTTGAGATGTTGATGGTGTGTGTTTATTTCTTCTGCACTGGATAAGTATCGCTTGAGATGTTGATGGTGTGTGTTTATTTCTTCTGCACTGGATACGTATCGCTTGAGATGTTGATGGTGTGTGTTTATTTCTTCTGCACTGGATAAGTATCGCTTGAGATGTTGATGGTGTGTGTTTATTTCTCCTGCACTGGATAAGTATCGCTTGAGATGTTGATGGTGTGTCTTTATTTCTCCTGCACTGGATACGTATCGCTTGAGATGTTGATGGTGTGTCTTTATTTCTCCTGCACTGGATAAGTATCGCTTGAGATGTTGATGGTGTGTGTTTATTTCTCCTGCACTGGATAAGTATCGCTTGAGATGTTGATGGTGTGTGTTTATTTCTCCTGCACTGGATAAGTATCGCTTGAGATGTTGATGGTGTGTGTTTATTTCTCCTGCACTGGATACGTATCGCTTGAGATGTTGATGGTGTGTGTTTATTTCTCCTGCACTGGATAAGTATCGCTTGAGATGTTGATGGTGTGTGTTTATTTCTCCTGCACTGGATACGTATCGCTTGAGATGTTGATGGTGTGTGTTTATTTCTTCTGCACTGGATAAGTATCGCTTGAGATGTTGATGGTGTGTGTTTATTTCTCCTGCACTGGATACGTATCGCTTGAGATGTTGATGGTGTGTGTTTATTTCTCCTGCACTGGATAAGTATCGCTTGAGATGTTGATGTTGTGTGTTTATTTCTCCTGCACTGGATACGTATCGATGGAGATGACAGTGCAAACCATACATTAGTTTCTTGTTTTACGCCGCACTCAGCAATATTCCAGCTATATCATGGCGGTCTGTAAATAATCAAGTGACTGACATCATGAGCATCGATCTATAAAGTTGGGATACGATGACATTCACCAACCAAGTCGGCAAAGCTGACCACCCGAATCCGTTAGTCGCCTCTCAGACAAACATAGTTTGCTGAAGATCAATTCTCACCCGGATCTTTAAGCGCACAAAACCATAGAACTTGTCTTTGATATAGATATATATGGGATATCAATTTGTCAAATAACATGTTTATCTCATCTAGAGACGTGGAAACATTGGTATTTTCATCATTAGCGCAAGTTATCGTGTGAGATCAAGGGGTTAATACACAAATACAAATGTTCCAACTACTCTTGCAGGAACCCATTGGTTCTGGGAGATTCTCAGTCAGCTGTCGGCAAGAAAGGCGGAGAACATCAGAGACAAGTGGAAGGGAGACATGATGATAGAGTGTTGTCCCCAGTCGGTCTTAGACGCTGCACCCTCCCCCCGGGTTCTCAACACACACGTCCAGTTTGGGCAGCTCCCCCAACAGATTGTGGAGAAGAAGTGCAAGATCGTACACGTGCTCAGGAACCCTAAAGACCTGACCGTGTCCTTCTACAACCACCACAGAGCATTAAAGGATATGTATAACTACCACGGGGAATGGAAGGACTACCTCCATCTGTTTTTGAATGGGCTGGGTATTATTATTATTATTATTATTATTAGTAGTAGTAGTAGTAGTAGTAGTGGTAGTAGTAGTATTGTGTTTGTTTGTTGTTTAACGCCGCATTGTGCAATATTCCATCTATGTGGCGGAGGTCTGTAAATTGTCGAGTCTGGAGCAGACAATATTTTTTTATCATCATCATCATCATCATCATCATAAGCAGCAGCAGCAGCATCAGCAGCAGCAGCAGCAGCGTCATTATCATCATCATCATCATCATCATCATTATCAGCAGCAGTAGTAGTAGTCAAACGCAGAAATATGACAAATTGTATAATGCTAGCCTGTCATCTTAAAAATAATCGTTTAAGTTTAAGACGCATTTTCGACTTAAGGAACAACAGAAATAGCGTATGAATACAATGCTTGATTTGGTACCGCCTGCGTATAGAGCTATATGTTAGCTGCCGTGTTTATAGATAGAAACACTTCCCCTCGGGAGCCCACAACAGAACGATAGGAATGTTATGCAGAAGGCTGTTGATCAAGTGGGCAGTCCATGGTCGCATGGAGGTCAATTGAAGTAGTTCTTGTCAGGTGACCTCAGATCGGATCATGATAACAAGTTTATCCGACTGGTTTATCGCATCGATAACGCTATCCTTGGTTTGATAACTAGACTTTTGTGGCACAAATCCTACTGTTTATGTTGTGTAGAAGGGCGGGAATAGCCAAGTAGAAACGTTGGATCATAACGCTGAAGGCCCGGGTTCGCTTCCCATTATATATGTACAGTGTGCGAGGCCCATTTCTTCTGTTCCCCTGTCAGGTCAGAATATTGCTAAAGAGTCGTTACACTACATTCACTAACTTACTCCGCTGTGATATATGGAACTTTACCTTTAGGCCTTTTTTCAAATGAAAATTGTTTAAACTGATTCACATATTTCACTTCACAAAACCTTCGTCAACGGTAGAAATGAAGAAAACGGGCCCTTCTTTTCTTTTTATGTTTCTAAAACCATTGGGTTGTTAGGATCAGAATTCTATTTTTTTAAATTTTAATGATCTACTTTGGCATTTTCGTGAAATCTGATGAGATTGATAAACACTGCTTGAGCGCCACACACCGCTTGAGTGTCGGTGACGTTATGAGTAGTAGTATAGCATATATCACATTGTCAGACAGAAATACTAGTTATAAAGTATTATAGGGCTTTAGACTGAAGGGACTGTTTCTAGGTTTATCAGCACCTTAGCCGTGCTCGTGGGTTTCACCGAAGTGGTAAACGTCTAAGACCTGCATCACTTGGGGCTTTCCTCCCACATTAAGCTGACACGCCGTGATATAACTGGAATAATGTTAAAAGCGGCGTTAAACCCAACTCACTCACTCACTTTAAATTGGAATTTTGATTTTCACATTCAAGATATGTAGGAAATAACTGACGACGATAAATTTCCGTTGACGTCTGTATATTTCCGTTGACTCGGGCTCCTGATTTGGAAACAATAAAACGCCTGACTTCTTGTATATTTCAGTTGACTGGGGCTCCATATTTGGCGACAATAAAACGCCTGACTTCTTGTATATTTCCGTTGACTGGGGCTCCTGATTTGGCGACAATAAAACGCCTGACTTCTTGTTTATTTCCGTTGACTGGGGCTCCTGATTTGGCGACAATAAAACGCCTGACTTCTTGTATATTTCCGTTGACTGGGGCTCCTGATTTGGCGACAATAAAACGCCTGACTTCTTGTATATTTCCGTTGACTGGGGCTCCTGATTTGGAAACAATAAAACGCCTGACTTCTTGTATATTTCCGTTGACTGGGGCTCCTGATTTGGATAAAATAAAACGCCTGACTTCTTGTATATTTCCGTTGACTGGGGCTCCTGATTTGGATAAAATAAAACGCCTGACTTCTTGTATATTTCCGTTGACTGGGGCTCCTGATTTGGCGACAATAAAACGCCTGACTTCTTGTATATTTCCGTTGACTGGGGCTCTTGATTTGGAGACAATAAAACGCCTGACTTCTTGTATGTTTCAGTTGACTGGGGCTCCTGATTTGGCGACAATAAAACGCCTGACTTCTTGTATATTTCAGTTGACAGGGGCTCCTGATTTGGCGACAATAAAACGCCTGACTTCTTGTATATTTCCGTTGACTGGGGCTCCTGATTTGGCGACAATAAAACGCCTGACTTCTTGTATATTTCAGTTGACAGGGGCTCCTGATTTGGCGACAATAAAACGCCTGACTTCTTGTATATTTCCGTTGACTGGGGCTCCTGATTTGGCGACAATAAAACGCCTGACTTCTTGTATATTTCCGTTGACTGGGGCTCCTGATTTGGATAAAATAAAACGCCTGACTTCTTGTATATTTCCGTTGACTGGGGCTCCTGATTTGGCGACAATAAAACGCCTGACTTCTTGTATATTTCCGTTGACTGGGGCTCCTGATTTGGCGACAATAAAACGCCTGACTTCTTGTATATTTCAGTTGACAGGGGCTCCTGATTTGGCGACAATAAAACGCCTGACTTCTTGTATATTTCCGTTGACTGGGGCTCCTGATTTGGCGACAATAAAACGCCTGACTTCTTGTATATTTCCGTTGACTGGGGCTCCTGATTTGGCGACAATAAAACGCCTGACTTCTTGTATATTTCCGTTGACTGGGGCTCCTGATTTGGCGACAATAAAACGCCTGACTTCTTGTATATTTCAGTTGACTGGGGCTCCTTATTTGGCGACAATAAAACGCCTGACTTCTTGTATATTTCCGTTGACTGGGGCTCCTGATTTGGCGACAATAAAACGCCTGACTTCTTGTATATTTCAGTTGACTGGGGCTCCTGATTTGGCGACAATAAAACGCCTGACTTCTTGTATATTTCAGTTGACTGGGGCTCCTTATTTGGCGACAATAAAACGCCTGACTTCTTGTATATTTCAGTTGACTGGGGCTCCTGATTTGGCGACAATAAAACGCCTGACTTCTTGTATATTTCAGTTGACTGGGGCTCCTGATTTGGTGACAATAAAACGCCTGACTTCTTGTATATTTCAGTTGACTGGGGCTCCTGATTTGGTGACAATAAAACGCCTGACTTTTTTGTATATTTCAGTTGACTGGGGCTCCTGGTTCGACAACACCCTAAGCTATATAAGAGCAAAGGAACAAAATCCCCAACTCCCAATACAGATAATGTACTATGAAGACATGAAAAAGGCATGTATTCATAAGTTTTGTCCTAAATTTTGAGGTTTTGAGTTGTAGATCGATAGGTTGTGTTTGTTTTGTTTGGTTTTTTTTACACGCCACACTCAACAATATTCCAGTTATATGCCGGTTGTCTGTAACTAATCGAGTCTGGATCAGACAATCTAGTGATTGATAGAATGATCATCGATCTACGCATTTGGGGTACGATGACATGACATGCTGAAGACCAATTCTCTCCCAGATCTTCACGCGCACAAGACCATACATACTAGTGCTTGATATCTGTAGGATATCTGTAGGATATCTGTAGGATATCAATTTGTTCCGTTAGTCGCCTCTTCCGGTAAGCATGGGTTGCTGAAGACCTATTCTAACCCAGATCTTCACGGATCTCGATAGGTAGTGAGTGACTTGAGTTTCACGCCGTTTGAACAGAGTTTAAGTGATATCACGGCGAGTCTTCTGTGAGAGGAAAGCCCAAAGTTCACCACTTTGGTAGAATTTACTGCTGACAAACCAAGAATCGCGTTCAAGGCGAATCTAGTTTTCGAACTCACGATCACCGGAGACGTAGGTTTGAATAGGCGATTTGGAATTCGCGTTCTCGGAGCTATTAATAAATGAGTCTTTGTGTTGACTTGAATAGAGTCAGCAAATCCTATTGAAGGGCTGGGAGACCTTACGACACACGTCGTATGGCACATGTGAGCACATGTGAGCAGTACAACTTTGTCTACTGTATCTAAAAACCCATACAATTTACTCGTGTATACATTATAAAGAACCCTTGGTCTCACATACAGCTGACATTCAAACCCTCTTTGAAACGATCACTCAATACCTGCCTCAATTGCTGCCCCGGGCCACGAACAGGGAATCTCATACGGTGACGCTACATGGTAATGAGACCCGATCACCCGTGGGTGGCCCAGTCGTCTAAGGCGCCACGATTCGCTGTGCAGAGTTGCGTCCAATGAGCACGCCTGAAACCTATGATTGTGGGTTCGAATCCCGGTTCGCCCTGGTTATGTTTCTAGATTTGTCAGCACCATACTCTGTGCTTGTGGGTTTCACCGAACTGTTAAACGTCTGAGACCTGCATCACTTCGTACTTTAACACATTAAGCTGACACGCCGTGATATAACTGTAATATTGTTAAAAGCGGCGTTAAACCCAACTCACTCACTCACTGTATGAAGTATTAATCACTTAAACGCTCACAGGCACTCCACTCACACTATAGATTTAAAATACTTAAAAATGCCCCGGAGTTTTTCTAGGGTTGAATTCGGGGTAGTGAGTGAGTTGGGTTTAGCGCCGCTTTTAACAGTATTCCAGTTATATCACGGCGTGTCAGCTTAATGTGGGAGGGAAGCCCGAAGTGATGCAGGTCTCAGACGTTTACCACTTCGATGAAACCCACGAGCACGGGTATGGTGCTGACAAACCTAGAAACATAATCGGGGCGAACCGGGATTCGAACCCACAATCATAGGTTTCTGGCGTGCCCAGGGGACGAAACTCTGCATGACGTGCATGTACGTGTGTGTGTTTGCTTGTACTAGTTCGGACTGATGCCGATTTATAGTTCTAGCTCACTGAGATACCATGCCGCAGTTTAACATGTATACCCCACTCAGACACAGTATACTGACTCCGACCAGTCCTTGTTTTAGCCCCTTAATGCCGAGCGCCAGACAGGGTAACAACAAGTACCATCTTTTAACGTCTTTTGGTATGACGCGGCCGGGGATCGAACCCCGGACCTTCCGCTCTCCGGTCGGACGCTCTACCACAAGACCACGGAGACCACTAGACCACTGGTGGGTCCGTATCAGCGTGACACCTTGGTAATGGCCAAACTAAGGGAGGTGCGCTGGAAACAGAAACATGCTGAATGCACATTATTCTTTGGGGAAATATAGGTCACAAAGAAGTCAAACAATTGTTATTGTTGTTGATAATATTACACCAAACGATTAATATATGTGAATTATGATAAGAATACAGAGCGTTTGTGGGGTTGGCGGGTGATGCCTTTATGTGTGTTGATGTGTGTGTTTGTTGATGTTTGTGTGCGTGCGTGTGTGCGTGCGTGCATTCGTGTATGTGTGCGTGCGTGTGTGTGCGCGCGTTCTTGTGTGTGTGCGTGCGTTCCTGCGTGCGTGTGTGTGTGTGCGTGCGTGCATGTGTGTGTGTGGTGATGGGTATATGTTTGTGTGGGTTAGAGGAAGATGTGTTTGTGGTGTATGTGTGTAGGTTGGGAGGTAGGGGGTGAAGGGGTTGGTGTTTGTGTGTGTATGTTGGGGCGTAGTATATCTGATACAGATCTAATAGCAACTTCTATTCGGTTACCTCCGAATACCCCAAGCTCCTCGCAGTGTTAGTCCTTTCCTGGAAGCCTCGACACTATGGGTGCCTTCAGCCTTGAATGGAATTGAATACGCATCTGGCTCATTGTTCAATCACGAACCCACAAAATAAAATAAGGTCTTTGTTTCTGAAACATTGTAAGATTATTTTTACCAGTATGACACACAAACAGTTCCCGTGGCATGTGGCGTAAATACAAAAGCTCCTTGACAGCGTCACTCGTACCTCACAAACTTGAGATGTCAAGCTCCTTCCCAGCGCGTGACACCGTTACACTCTCGGTAACATCGCTGCCACCAGTGTGGGCGAATCTGGAATCTGGAAATTTGCCCTCTAACCCCAAATGTAGTGACGTTCATACTTTTGTTTATGTCTTTGGGAATGCCATCATAGTGAATTTTGAAAAGGTTTACGACTGACCATGTTTCCCAGATGAATTTACTTTGTTGTTTGTATAATCAGATTGGATCGAGAGAGCAGACTAACGGAAAATCAACCAACTTCTCCCGTACATTCTTACTATATCAATAACATGATAGTTTTAATGAAATAGAAATTCAAATTGACGAACAAAGAAAGTATTTTAGCAGGGGTAAGTTTATTCGGCGTCACGACAGTCGTCACTTATTTGTAAACATAACGGTCATTCGGTTGCGAGTTCAACTCCAAGCATATGGTTGGGGCCACCTATCACAGTGGGGAGTTTTGACTGCTGGCAGCGATAGTAGAGAGAGCTCCGCGAACGGGCTATCGCTGCGAGGAGCTTGTTGAGATGTGTTGATAAATAACTCAAGAGCGGTGTTTATATCCATTTGGGATCATTCACGGATAAATGGTCAGATATGTACCACTCTCACTTTTTTACAAACAAACATCAGCGATCGAGACTAGACAATGGAAATGCAATGTTTAGGTACCGTTACCCTTTGGGATGCCGGGTTGGATCATGTCCCCAGCATCCCATGAGTGAGTGAGTGAGTTGGGTTTAATGCCGCCTTTAACATTATAATTCCAGTTATATCACGGCGTGTCAGCTTAATGTGGGAGGAAAGCCCGAAGTGATGCAGGTCTCGGACGTTTACCACTTCGGTGAAACCCATGGTATGGTGCTGACAAACCTACAGACATAATCGGGGCGAACCGGGATTCAAACCCACAATCATAGGTTTCTGGCGTGCCCAAGGGACGCAACTCTGCACAGCGAATCGCGGAGCCTTAGAGTGGATAGACTGGGCCACCCGTGCCCCAGCATCCCATCCCATCCCATCCCATCCCAACAGGGTCAGGTAGTCAGGCTTGTCAGGTCAGGCGACTTGGTTGATTGCTGTCGTAGTACCGATGGTCACTGGATAATGTGGTCCAGGCGTCATATATTCTGTATTAGGAAGAGACTTGGCACTCTCGCGTGATAACGTCTGTATCTTATAGTTTCTGCATGTTGGTTGGTTGATTTACGTCCATGCTGTGTGTTACAGGACCCGGTCGCTGGGGTCCGACAGTTAGCTGACTTCCTTGGCGTGGAGGCAGATGAGGAACTTATCAAGGGAATCTGTGATAAATGTGGCTTTGAAAATATGAAAACCGTTGCCAGTGAAGTGGGAAAAGGACTGATACAAGATGGTGTGCCACAGGTATTCCGAAAAGGTGAGATTCAATTTTCTTAACACAACACATTGTGTGGATCACATAATTCTTAATTCAAAATCTCCTTTTGGACACTGTCTCTGTAGGAATTTATTCTCAAAAGAACACTGAAATAATGGACATGAAATATATTCCATGATTGGCGTTTAAATTAGGTATGACCTTATGACCCTGTTCTGGTGTCAGACGACTGGATTACTTACCGCTCGGACCCACTCGGGTCGACTCAGGCCCACTCGGATCAACTCGGGCCCACTCGGTTTCTACGCGGCTTTTTCCGCTAGCTGCGTGACCTTGGGCAGCAATGGAGTGGTGATTGCTTGAATCATGGATCAAATACAGAGCCGGTATATGGTCTCTGCTTGAATTCACTGTAAGCCGTCTAACGCAAGTTCGTTTTGATCATATAGGAAAGTGAAGACAAAAACAAACAAATTGAACAGTTCCATGGCTGCTGTCGGGTAGTGCTGAGTCACCTCCGTGAAGCTGGATTGAACATGGATTCCAGTGCGGGCGACGTCCTGTGTGACGGAAACGACCCGAATGCTCAACACTGACTGTCTACAGACGTTAACAGTGTGACGGGAAGTGGCTTTTTCAATTTAACACTGCCAATTATGTCACGGCGTGTCAGCTTGATGTGGGAGGAAAACCCGAAGTGATGAATTTCTTAGAGGTTCCACACTTTTATGAAACCAACGTGCAGGGTATGGTGCTGAAAAACCTAGGAAAAAATCAAAACAAAAAGGACACGCTTAAAGGCATCTTTCCGAGTCAATGGCGTTAACTGACTATGGCTTCCTCGGAAACTGAACTTTTATAGTCAGTTAACGCCCTTGCCTCGGGAAGATTTCTTGAGGGACGCAGCTCTGCACGCCGAATTGAGGCGCCTCAGACGCAAGGCCGTGTCTCCCAGAAAAGTGTAATACAGTAAACTACGTTTATAACGAACACGCTTACAACGAACTGACGGATATAACGAACTTACTTTTTTGTCCCGACTATTTGCTGTAGTTATGCTGTATATATGTTTATAACGAACTACGGTTATAACGAACTAAAATGAGTGGTCCCGTTCAGTTCGTTATAACCGTAGTTTACTGTATATATGATGTATAAGGTAGCTATTGGGAATAAGAGTCCACTATGTTCTCGTCACAGACATAGCGTTATGTTCATCTATCACCAGGTGGCGTGGGGGACTGGAAGAACTGGTTCACAGTTGCGCAGAACGAGGAGTTTGACAAAGTTTACTCAGAGAAGATGGAAGGATATGATCTCCCATTTAAATATTCCATTTGAAGATTTCACTCTGCATAATGCGGGGCGTGATTGTCTCAGTCTGTATACAGTAAAACCCCGTAAAACCGGACGGTAACGTTTCCTGTTAAATCTTCTTGGTAAATCAAATTTTTTTAAATAAGGAATAATGTTGGAGAGTTGTGTCCCTTTACTTCTATATTTCGTTCAAACACGCCCCATTAGTAGCAGGGGTTCCAGACCGCCGGTGTCCCAGACGACCGGGTCAGGCCTAGGGAGGTTTCACTGTGGAACTGTTGTTCATGTGTTATATTGGACTTTAAACTCACAAGTGCATTAACATAAATGACGTACTTTGACTTCACCAAGACTTCACTGGGGATGCTATGGACGAACGTGACGTAGAGAAAGCCGTGAAATGTTGGCAATGTTAATTGACAAACAGTCATATTTAATTATTTTGGGGGCAAAATTGTTTGATCGACTCTTGTGGGCCTATATTCTTCTGGTAATTTAACGAACGATATAGCGGAGAAATTACTAGTTCTTTAGTTACTCATTCTTTGACATAAAGAGATCAGAACAACGTGAAGTCTGTGAATGGAGTTGTACTTTAATACAAGGGGTTGTACTCTAACAAATGGGGTTGTACTCTAATACGTGGGGTTGTACTCTAACACATGGGATTGTACTCTAATACATGGAGTTGTACTTTAATACGTGGGGTTGTACTCTAATACAAGGGGTTGTGCTCTAATACATGGGGTTGTACTCTAACAAATGGGGTTGTTATCTAATACGTGGGGTTGTACTTTAATACATGGAGTTCTACTCTAATACATGGGGATGTACTCTAATACTTGGGGTTGTATTGCAACAATGGGAGTTGTATTGTAATACTGTCAGAATGCATTCTTTATACATGAAAATGATATCAGAGTCGAAGAACATGTACAATTAACTGGAAAGTGATGTATACAGATAAATGGCCATTTTAACATGGGCTTCGTACAGCAAGGTGACTGGATTTATCACTGTGTCCATTACGAGAAGACGGTACCAAGTTGATGACATGGTCACGAGAATGGCTGTGTTCCCCCATTCGGCTTGTCCCGGAATGACACGAATGGTCACGAATGGAATATGCTGTGATCAGCGGATTGATTCCATATTCCAATATTCAGAACACAATCTACCTTACTGAAGGGGAAGGACAATATAATCTTGTCGACAAAGGAACGTATATTTAACTGCCATCATGATGTTAAAGTATTACCCTGATTCATTGCGGAGGCATATATTCTAATAAAAGTCATATAAACGCAACAGTATTGGTCGAGCTCTTTTCGCGCCCACATATGATAGTGTAATGAAGTAAGGCGTGGTGCGGCTTTGAACTGTTTTCAGTTATATCGCCGCGTGACTGCTAATGTGGAAGGAAAGCCAAAGGAAAAATATGCCTTGGACGTTTCTTTGGTGAAACACCCGGGCATGGGTATGGTGCTGACAAACCAGAACCATACTCGGAGCCAATCTGGGATTTGAACCCGTTTACTCGATTCCATGGAACTCCACAAATTGAAGGGTGTTTTGACGATATCTATGCCAAATGTATACAAGGTCACTACCCGTGGGGATCCTGGGTCAGAATATAGGACCCCAGCAACCTGTTGCTGTCGTGAGAGGCGATCAACGAAATCGGGCGGTCGGGTCCGGTGACTTGATTGATTGCATGTCATTGTATCACTCGTGAAGATCCGGGGTAGAATAGGTCTTCAGCAACCCATGCTTGCCGTAAAAGGCAACTATGCTTGTTGTAAGAGGCGACTAACGGGATCGGGTGGTCAGGCTCGCTGACTTGGTTGATGCATGTCATCGTATCCCAACTGCGTGGATCGATGTTTATAATATCAATCACTGAATCGTCTGGTGCAGATTCGATTATTTACAGACCGCCGTCAGAGAGCTGGAATATTGCTGAGTGTGGCGTATAACAACCAACCAACAAACAAATTAAACTACGCAGGTTGACGTTGCATCTCGGGCTTGTTCTCAGTGACAATGGGGGCGGCCGGGTAGCCTAGTGGTTAAAGCGTTCGTTAAAGACCCGGGTTCGATTCCCGACATGGGTACAATGTGTGAAGCCCATTTCTGGTCTCCCCCGCCGTGATATTGCTGGAATATTGCTAAAAGCGCCGTAAAACCATACTCACTCACTCACTCACTCATTGGCAATGGAACCCTCATTAACAATAGAGTGAGTATATAACGCCACGCTAAGCAATATTCAGGCAACAGTACGGCTGAGAACACACGAAATATGCTTCACACATTGTGCACGAGTGGAATCAAACCCGAGACACTGCTTTAACCGCCAGGCGTCCCCACCACCCGTGTCTATACCAGTGTTACAATGTGACGGTGCATCTCCAGACTGCAGTTTGCATAGTCACTTTCAATTGTCAAGCAGTGCACTTGCAGTTTGTGTAGTCAGTTTCAGCTGTCATGTAGTGCACGTGCAGTTTGTGTATAGTCAGTTTCAGCTGTCAAGCAGTGCACGTGCAGTTTGTGTAGTCAGTTTCAGCTGTCATGTAGTGCACGTGCAGTTTGTGTAGACAGTTTCAGCTGTCAAGCAGTGCTTTTGTGACCATGCCAGAGCATAACGGGTCTATTTATGATAAGTGGATAGATATATGTGGGTAGATAATTTTGAATTGTCAATGTTTTGTGGCCTTTTCATGAGAATTAAAGTTAAGGGAAAAAAGATGAGCTGATTGACACCCAATAAGACGAGACTTTGCTAGATCAGAACCAAATGTGGAGGATTCTAATAAATTTGATGTTTAAGAATGTAATGGAATATGACAAGGTGCTATTGTGTCGCCCAAATAAATTACAAATAAATGTAATTCTTGTGATATATTTGAAAAATTGTTCAAGGGAAAATGTTACAACATTATTGAATTAAAACCTAAATTTACCTGGATAATGCTTTAGATGGGTCGTGAATCGTTTGATTAAATTCAAGGAATATTAATGCCCAACTGTTTTCAAAAGCAGTAAGACAAAGCGTTGTAGGAAGTTGGCTGTTTTTTTTTTCTATTCAGTCACATTTGATTTATTATTAGAGTTGTGATACAAGTTAGAAATTGTAAAAGCTAGGGTTGCCTGCTTTCCAGCAGGAACCAATTTTATCCATTCCGCTTAACTGTAGATGGCTTTACAGCAGGTGGTCAGTTGGGCAACAACAGGTGCTTTCGGTTACTATATTGCAACAGTATCTGCCTGGCAGCGCTTGATGTGTAGCAACGGTTGTTGCAGGGTAGCGGTCCCTGCATTGGGAAGCCACATCGGTTGCTTGGCAACGGCTGCTGCATTGGATATCATCACATCATACAGTCCACTACTACCTCCACATCCGCGACCATTTAGCATCTCTCGTCTTAATTTCAAGTTCCGCTATCATACAGGATAGCGGAGCCTGGCCTAATGGGGTAATATCGTCATGGAATCCACTGGTACGACTGGCTATCAGGAGATGTACATACACAGTAGACCCGTGAAGATCCGGGGTAGAATAGGTCTTCAGCAATCCATGCTTGCCGTAAAAGGGGACTATACTTGTCGTAAGAGACGACTAACGGAACAGGTGGTTAGGCACGCTGACTTGGTTGATGCATGTCATCGTATCCCAATTGCGTGGAATCGATGCTCATGATGTCAATCACTGGATTATTTAGAGACAGCCGTCATATAGCTGGGTATATTGCTGAGTGCGGCGTTAAACAACAACAACAACATACACAACAGCATGCAACTCAATTAAGCTAAATTTGTTTTATTCAGAGGGGTCACATGATACGTTTGGATATGTCTATGAATTGCTCATTAAGTACATTACATATTTATGGTTAATCATATCGTCTCCATGGAGATGTCGGGTAAGAATTGAACCTAGCAAAAAACGCTTGTGGTAAGAGTCGACTGAATGGGTCGGGTGGTCAGACTTAGTTGACTTGGGTTTTTGCGAGTCATCGTACCCCGAGGACGTGGGACGTTGCTCATTATATCAATCACTGATTTGTATGGCCCAGACTCAACAATGTACATGCATCGGTGTTGTAACCGAAATATTGCTGAGTGTGACGTCACGTCATAACAAATCCAAGTACAAGAAGCGTCAGTAAAATCTCTCTATATTCCCTGTTAAAAATAACTGCATCACATCAAAGTGACAGTCAGTGACACTACACACGGTTCGTAAAACTACGCACAGTTCGTGACACTACACACAGTCAGTGACACGACATACAGTGAAACTACACACAGTTCGTGACACTACACACAATCGGTGACACTACATACAGTTAGTGACACTACACAGACTACGCACAATAAGTGACACTACACACAGTCAGTGACACTATACACACTACACAGAGTCAGTGACACTACACACACTACACACAGGTAGTGACACTACACACAATCGGTGACACTACACACAGTTAGTGACACTACACAGACTACTCACAATAAGTGACACTACACACAGTCAGTGACACTACACACACTACACAGACTCAGTGACACTACACACACTACACACAGTTAGTGACACTACACAGACTACGCACAATAAGTGACACTACACATTCAGTGACACTACACACACTATACTCAATAAGTGACACTTCACCCAGTGACACGACACACACTACACACAGTAAGTGTCACTACACACAGTCAGTGACACTACACACACTACACACAATAAGTGACACTACACACAGTGACACGACACATCCTACACACAATAAGTGAAACTACACACACTACACACAGTGACACGACACACACTACACACAGTCAGTGACACTACAAACATGCAAGTAACACTTCACACAGTTAATGACACTTCACAGAGTTAGTAACACTTCACACAGTTCGTGACACTACACACAATCGGTGACACTACACACAGTTAGTGACACTACACAGACTACGCACAATAAGTGACACTACACACAGTCATTGCCCCTTTTACATACACACTAAACAGTCAGTTACACTACACACAGGTAGTGACACTACACAGACTACGCACAATAAGTGACACTATACACAGTCAGTGACACTACGCACACTACATAGAGTCAGTGACACTACACACACTACACACAGTTAGTGACACTACACAGACTACGCACAATAAGTGACACTACACATTCAGTGACACTTCACACACTACACTCAATAAGTGACACTTCACGTTCAGTGACACTACACACACTACACTCAATAAGTGACACTACACACAGTCAGTGACACTACACACAGTTAGTGACACTACACACACTACACACAGTGATACGACACACACTACACACAGTTAGTGACACTACACAGACTACTCACAATAAGTGACACTACACATTCAGTGACACTTCACACACTACACTCAATAAGTGACACTTCACGTTCAGTGACACTACACACACTACACTCAATAAGTGACACTACACACAGTTAGTGACACTACACACACTACACACAGTGATACGACACACACTACACACAGTCAGTGACACTACACACACTACACACATTCGGCGACACTACACATAGTAAGTGACACTACACACACTACAAACAGTTGTGCTCTCTTCGTCTTTCGCTTACACACCCCGTTTCAGAACTAGCGGTGCTGGTGCTTCGTGTGGACTCACATGAAGCATGTCGCAGAAATGGATTATACTAAGCATTACGCTGACCTAACTATTATCTGCAAGATCAATCTGTAGTTTGCCTACACTGATACCAGTCGTTTTCTCAAATTCTTCCAGGTATTTCTGTCTCCGATGTTCAGCCAACTGGGCTTATGTCACATTGTACGTAACTCCAATCCCAAAATTGTTTCTTTCAGGCAGTGACACACCAGTTGGCGTTGCATAAGTGCATCGTTCTTTCCTCCAGTTTTCATAGAAATGATCTCTAGTCTCGGGCAGGCCTTCTCTGGGGTCCTAAAAAGTAGTATGTTCGTCATTAATTAAACTCAGTGTCTTTGAATCTGGACGCATATGGCCACGTGGTTTCATCGATGCCCGATCAAGTGACTTAGTACGTCTCAGTCAAGAATCAGCTGATTGTTCATTCAAAAGGCCCTCATTACTGGGACTTCAATTAGGAATAACACAATTTAGATGCTCAATAACAATTACATCAGTCTTATTATCAACAATTGTCTTTTTCTCAATGTCAGTGTCTTAAATTTTACATCCCTACCCTCACTGGTCCACGACGGTTCGTATTATCACT